GAAAGGCCCAAGTGAAAAGTAACTAATTACTCTCAATGTAAAACTCGAAGTATAAATCAAGACGTATAATCGTTACAAAAAAGAATCAAGCCAAAGAAAAATTGTATTCTTGATAAAGGTTTCAAAAAGAGGCCTGAAGAAAACTACCTCATATCCTTGTGCTGGATGATTACTAAGTGCTAAGGCTTTTAACTCATTAACAAATGGCAAAATACAGATGATATAACCTTGCTTGCAATAAGCAAAGAGGAGTTAAAATACTGATGAAAATTAAAGACTATAGTTTTCAGTATGGCTTGCACCTCAATGCAGAGAAAACAAAAATCACAACTGCATTTTGCTTGGATTCACTATCAACATTCATGGAAGTAGCAGTCAAGAAATCAAAGGATTTATTATATTAGGCATATCTGTCCCACAAGACTTCTTTAACATGAACAAAAGCAAAGACATCAGTTTGAGGACTAACGATCCCCTGATGCAAGCCATGGTATTTTCAAATGCCTCATATGCAAGTGAAAGTTGAACAATGAATAAGGAAGACCTTAGAAAAATTGATGCATTTGATGAATGGTGTTGACAAAGAATAATGAAAGTTACCAGGGGCTACCAGAAAAACAACAAATCTGTGTTGAAAGACATACAGTCAGAATGTTCCTTAGAAGCCAGGATGGTAAAGAGTTTGTCTCTCATACTTAAGACATGTTATCAGGAGGGACCGGTCCCTGGAGAAGGATATCACATTTGGTAAAGTGGAGGGTCAGCAAAAAAAGAGGAAGACTCCCCAATGAGATGGATTGACAGACAAATAGCAGCAGCAGTGGGTTCAAAGGTAACAACAATTGTGAGGATGGCAGAGGACCAGACAGTAGTATGTTGTTCTGTTGTGTATAAGGTCACTATGAATCAGAACCACCAACTCAATGGCACCAAACAACAAGGGTTTCAACTTTTGTAAAGCCCCATTTCAGGTCATGGTATCCATTCTTCAGCAAGCAGATGAAATCTGTTTTAATAGTCTTTAACATTTCTGCATAATGAGACCCCAAAATCAAATATCAAATTACTTGAATCTGTATTAAATATTAATAGACTCTAACTCAAAAACATAACCTCTAGATTTGTAGGAAAGATATTTTAAGCTTATTTCTTTTAATAATTGTAGCAAAATATTATAATATTTAGGAAAATCACTAGATTATCCTAGTGTTTGGACTAGAAGTCTGGATGGCCAAACTTCATCTCTCAAACTTCAGACATATTGTCAGGAGGGACAAGTCGCTAGAGAAGGATATCATGTTTGGTAAAGTGGAGGGTCAGAGAAAAAGAGGAAGACCCCCAACGAGATGGATTGGCCAAGTGGCAGCATCAATGGACTCAACTGTGGCAACAGTAGTGAGGTTGGCCCAGGATCAGGCAGTGTTTCATTCTGCTGTATATAAGGTCGCTATGTGTTGGTGTTGACTCTATGGCACCTAACAACAACAACATGCCACTGGTATTTTAAATACCAGAGAGGTTACCCATAATGAATAGATTTCAACTGAGCTTCCAGACTAAAACAAACTAGGAAGAAGAGACGGACTATTTCTGAATGTATACCCATTGAAAACCTTATGAACAGCACCAGAATACTGTCAGATACACTGCATGAAGATGAACCACACAAGTTGGAAGGGACTCAAAATACAAGTGGGGAAGAGCTGTGTTGTTGTTAAGTGCCGTCAAGTCGGTTCCGACCCATAGTGACCCTGTATACAGGGTTTCTGAGGAGGTGCTGGTGAGCTTGAACCACCGACCTTGCAGCTCAAACGGCTTTGCAGTCTGGCGTGTTAGCCACCAGCGCCACAGGAGTACATTTTTTTTTTTTTTCATTAAATGTTTTTATTTTGGATTGAGTGAAAGTTTACAGGGCACATCATCAGCTTCACATTCAACCATTCATATAGCTTGTTTCATTACATTGATTATTATCCCCTCCATATATCATCAGTTAACAGTGTTTCTCTCCACAGGAGTACATTTTTAAGACTTAAATAGAGTAAAACTTTTGGGACCTTCATTTGTTGATGGGGCACAACTCAAAATCAAGAGGAATAGCTGTAAACATCCGTTAGTAATCATAACATGGAATGTACGAAGTATGAATCTAGGAAAATTGTAAGTTGTCAAAAATTAAATAGAATTCATAAAAACTGGTACTCAAGCATCAGTGAGCTGAAATGAACTGGTACTGGCCCTTTTTAATCTGACCATCATGTGGATTACTATGCTCAGAATCATACATTAGAGAGGAATGACATTGCATTCATCACCAAAAATAAAACTTAAGGATCTATCTTGAAGTATGAAGTCCTGGTGTGGCACTGAGGGTTAATGCACTGTACTGTCCAAGGTCGGTTTGAACAGCAAGGTCAGCAGTTCAGGCTCACTGGCCACTCTTTGGAAGCCTATACAGGATTGTTATTAATTGAAACCAACTCAACAGCATTTAACAACAACAGTCTTGAAATATAAAGCCATCTAATACCCATACACTTACAGAGAAGACAAATTAATGCCACTATTATTCAAATTATCACTAAAGCTAGTGATAATGAAATTGAAGAATTCTACCAACTTCTTCAGTATGAAATTTATCAAATATACAACCAAGAATAATTGATAATTACTGGTGATTGAAATGCAAAGATTGGAAACAAAGAGAAGGATCAGATGTTAGAAAATATGAAGAAAACAAACTGTCTACATCTATGGAAAGAGACAGTGGAAAAGCTCCATATCATCAGCCAAAACAAGACCAGGGGTAGGTTGTGGAACAGACGTTCAATTGCTCATATTCAAGTTCAGCTTAAAGCTGAAGAAAATTAAAACAAGTCCACAAGAGTCAAAATATGACCTGAACATATCCAACATGTATTTAGAGACCACCTTAAGAACAGATTTGATGCATTATACATGAAAAATGGAAGACCAGAAGAGTTGTGGGATGACATCAAAAATATCATACAGGAAGAAAACAAAAGGGCATTAAAAAGATAAGAAGGAAAAGACCAAAATAGATTATCAGAAGAGACTCTGAAACTTGCTTTCCAGCATGGAGATGCTAAAGCAAGTAAAAGAAATGAGATTAAAGAGCTGAGCAGAAAATTTCAAAGGGCAGCTCAAGAGGACAACCATTGTAATTAAATGTGCAAAGACCTGGAGTTAAAAAACCAAAAGGGAAAAACGCCCAGCATTTCTCAAGCTGAAAGAACTGAAGAAAAAATTCAAGCCTCAGCTTACAATATTGAAGAAATCTATGGACAAAATATTGAATAATGCAGAAAGCATGAAAAGAAGGAATAGAAAGTCACTGTATGGAAAACAAATGGTTGATGTTCAACCATTTCAAGAGATAGCGTAAGATTAAGAGTCAGTGGTACTGAAGGAAAAAGTGTAAGGTGCACTGAAGACATTGGCAAAGAACAAGGTTCCAAGTATTGATTGGGTACAAATTGAACTATTTCACCAAACTGATGCAGCACTGGAGGCACTCACTCATCTATTACAAGAAATTTGGAAGACAGCTACCTGGCCAGCTGTTGGAAGAGATACATATTTGTGACCATTCCAAAGAAAAATGACCCAAGGGAATATTGGTATCATCAGATAATATCATTAATATTGCACGCAAGTATTATTTTGCTGAAGATAACTCAAAAATGGCTGCAACAGTATATTGACAGGGTATTGCCAGAAGCTCAAGCTAGATTCAGAAGAGAACATGAAATATTCTGTTGATGTAAGAGATCTTGGCTAAAAGCAGAGAATACCAAAAAGATGTTTACCTGTACTTTGTGAAATGTGCAAAGGTTTTCAGCTGTGTGGATAGCATTGTTAAGAATGAGTAGTCCACATTTATTTGTGCTTATGAGGAACCTGTACATAGACCAAGAGACAGTCATAGAATGGAACAAGGGGACACTAAATGGTATAAAATCAGGAATGGTGTGCACCACGGTTGTATTTTCACTATATTTTATATAATCTGTATGCTGAGCAACTAATTAGAGGAGCTGGATTGTATGAAGAAAAACATGGCATCAAGATTGGAGAAAGACTCATTAACAACTTGCAATATGCCAAAAATAATATCAGAGTTTGTATCTTTATTCTTTAAAAATGATAAATACGTTCCTAGAGTCAATTATCTTATTCTAATTACATTTAGTGCCTTAGGTGTCACCAGTTAGGAATACAAAGGCAGTTGTATACTGTGTATTATATTCTTGTTTTACCCCCATAAAATGTTTACAGTATATACTGACATAAATGAGATTTGGAGAATGATAGTGTTAGCTTATAACCTTTTCAAAAGTACATTCTTTTCTGCTTTGAATTTTTTTCTTGAAACTATACATTTTCAGTAGTAGTATTTTGAATGAAATAAGAAAAAAATATGAGGTAATAGAGATTTTGATACAATTAGTGGGATACATATCCCAAGGGGTCACTGGTACTTGGGTTGGTGGAATGAGGTCTGTCTCAAGATTCAGTTGTACAGGTCTTCACCAGATGGCAACATATACACTAAAAGTAGGATAGCAGGTTCCCACTGAACTAATGTGGAAAATGTTAATTTGGGCACTACATGACACACAATACAAGAAAGTGTTAAGATCTGAAGATGGGAAAGCAAATCATATTTGAAATTTAATAGAATTTTTACTTAATAACAATGCCTATAAAACTTTTGACAAAAGTGACCTAGCAATTGAAAATGGGTGATACTGTAGTAACTGTTAACTAGATGATTATGTAATGCTATTTTCATAGTTAGTCACAGATATTATTATTAAGTGCTTTCAACTCAGTCCCAATTTATAGCGATCCTGTATAGGCTTTCTAAAGCGCAGCTAGTGGTTTTGTTGTTTAAACATCATACTTACATTTGCAAGTCACAAGGTTACCACCAGGTATACACAGACCCGAATTAAAAAACATAAAAGTAGCTTTATGTAGATGGGAAAGGTATATTTTATTTCTCCAGTGACATATGATATTTGTACAGCTGAATGTAAATTAAAGGCCTGCTTGTACACCAAAGCCCGGTCCTTTGGGTGGTTCAGTCAACGAGGTAAGACCACCAGCTGGCTCACAAGAGAAGCGTCCACTCCTGAAATGAAAAGCAAATTAACATTTTATTGACTAATAATCTTATCAACTACCATTAAACAACTTTAAACAAAAATACATACAACTGTTACAACTCTGTGAAATATTTTTTCCCCAATAACTACTGTGAATTATTTAAATATTTCAACTGCATTAAGATTTTCTCTTCCTAAAGTTAAATGTTAAAGTAGGCTTATCAAAATTCACCATGAATATAAAAAGTAATAGTTCTTATTATGTATATAGCGGATTACATACACAAAAGGAGCTCTGGTAGCGTAGTGGTTACGAATCAGGCTGTGAACCGCAAGGTCAGCAGTTCAAAACTACCAGCTGTTCCACAGGAGAAAGAGGAGGCTTTCTGCTCCTGTAGTAAAGAGTTACAGCCTCGGAAACCCTATACAGGGTCGCTATGAATCGAAATCGACTCCACGGCACATAACAACAACAACAATATATACACAAAGGGAGCTCTGGTAGTATAGTGGTTATGAATTGGGCTGCTCACCTCAAGGTCAGCAGTTCGAAACTACCAGCTGTTCCATGAGAGAAAGATGAGGCTATCTGCTCCCATAAAGATTTACAGCCTCAGAAACCCTATACAGGGTCCCTATGAGTCGGAATCAACTCCACGGCACATAACCACCATACGTACACAAGCTCACTTAATCTTTACATCAATGCCATGAAACACATGATATTGGCCGTATTTTACAAATACAGAAACCAAGGCTTAGGAGTTTAAGCATCTGACCAAGGACTACAGTTTAGATGGAAAAATAAACCTAATCCTGTAAGATATCTTTTAAAATCATATCTTAATAAACCAGAGAACTACACTCGTTCTTTATATATTTGTCCTGTTGTAGAATAGTACTGGTCATCTAACCACAAGGTTGGTGGCTCAAACCCACCAGCCACTCCTTGGAAACCCTATACAGGATCATTATGAATTACAACCAACTTAACAGCACTTAACAACAACCACTGTTTCAGTGAACAAAAAGGAATACACATACTTTATTTTGTACACTATATTTGGAAGTAAAGAGAACAATTCCTTCCAAAATTTAAAGTTTGAGATGATGTCCTGTAAAAGCAGTAAAGTAGAAGACTATTTTCATGCTTTTTAATTTTAGTAAAATAAAAAATATTCTATGATTCCTACCAACTCATACTACCTCCCAAAAAATGGTTCCAGAACAGAATGACTACTACAGGCATGAAGAAAATAAAACAAGAGAAAGTCTTGATGAAGGAATCTAAGCAGCAGCAAAGAAGTAGAAGAACTTGTCTTTTTTCACCTACATACATATTTTCTCAGGTAATCGCTTAACTTCTGACCTGTATCACCTGTGTTGCGTAAGCAGAGTTTAGCACCTAATATCATTTTTCTCCCTCCTACTCCCTGGCTTTGTTAAGCAACACTTTGTTCCTGCCACAGTTTTGAGCGGAAGAATGTATGTATCTTTTTAACCATTTTGGCTTTGCCCTTCACACTCTGCCATCAATCCTATAAATCTATTTTATAAAACCCAAGCAGAGAACAAACAAGATGGCGGATCGGGTGGACGTATAGCAGAGAGCTCCGCCAACAACAACATAGAATACCCGAACAAGCAGGCTCAGGGGCTGATCCCAGAACTCTGAACCACATATAAAGGAATACTTAGAAGGTTGGAAGGATCAAAGCTGGAGGAATTTGTGGCAGAAGCAAGAAATCTATTGCTTTCTAGTCTGGGACACTCAGCTGCTCCAGGAGCAGCCATCTTGGGTGAGACCACGTGGGGGAAAGATCGGAGCGGCCACAGACGCCTGGCAGAACCGCAGAGATAAAGGTGTGGACATGCTTCTCTTTTGGTAGCTGTTCATTGGTCCCTCACTGTCTGCGCACCTCCATTCTGGTGACTATAGGGGTCCTGAGCTAGTGGGCACCCCAGCCCCACCCTCGGAGGGTTCTACTACGCATGTGCACAGATTTCCTCAAAATTTAAAGAGACAGTTTCCAATTA